CTTCCGATTCCAGCGTTGCATGAAAGCTGGGTTGCTCATCAGCGGTCTGCAGGGATGCAGAGATGCTCTGGTGAGAAACAGCGGGTTTTGAAGAGCTGCTTCTACCAGCGAGACCATCCCATGCAGGGGTGCACCGGGCCCTGGGTTTTGGTACAAAATTCAATGGGAAAAGGTGCTGCAATTCTGCTGCAAGAAGTCTTTAAAGCTTGTTACGTTGCCCCTGGGGAGAGGCGGCAAGGCGTTAAAGGGGAAAGGCTGGGGATTAGTTTTTTACTATTTGCCGAGCTATTCGGGCTCCCACTGTACAAAGAGCAGCTCAGCTGTGCCGGAGCTGACAGACAACATTCATTGTGCTTTTAATCACTGACAATGAATTAAATTGTACATACTAAATGCCAGTTATATAATAACCTGTAGTTATAGTGTCATACTTGTCGCTGAAAGCAATACCCCTACCCGACTTACCAGGTCTGTTTTGGAAAACATGGAAAGATCTGTGATCTTTCCAAGAAAAAGGCTGTTATTTATAAATTACAGGTTGAAGTCTCCCCCAGCGTAAGCCGGAGGCCCGCCAGGGATTTCGGCTGAGCTGCACTGACTTTACATCAGGTGAAGACTTGGCTTTTTTAACACCAAAAAATGGGTGCGGGTGACCAACCCTGGGGCAGGCGCATGGTGTGCAGGAGATGCTCCTCCGTCGGCCTTCCACTGAAACTACGTCAGGGATGGGGTTGAGCTGGTTCTTGTGCTTTTATTGCAAGACCAGCTAAATGAAAATCAAGTTTTCTACTCACAATAAACCAACGCTCCTTAAAAGCAAAAAACATACACATGAGACTCTTCCCTTTGGATGAATACTTCCATTTATTCCAACTGGAAAAAACATTTTTTTTTTTAAATATACTTAAGTGTAATTTCTTTTTTTGTTTGTTTGTTTTCTTTTTCTTTTTAAAGGAATAATAATTATCACATTGTCTTTTACAAACAGCAAAAAAATTCCTAGCAATAGTCGGTGGTACGGAGACGTCCATCTTCAAGATTTTTCTGCATCTGCTGCTTTCACCCCAGGGGTGCCGGTGCCGGCCCTGCAGCGGGACCCTTCTCCTGCAGCGGCACCCCGAGATGCCGGCAGTGCGTGGGGCGAGGGCGATGCAGCCGGTTAAACCTCTCAGCCCTCCTGTGGCTCAAAGCTCAGCTTTATCTTAACACCCTCAGGTGCTAACCTGCATCTTTGGGTGCCGACAGCCCCTTTTGCAAACCCGCTCCTTCCCGGGAAGCACCGGGACAACCCGGCATGGGCTTGCAATGCTTCGGTGCATCCGCCGGGATGCGCCGCGATGGCAGTACCCCAATGGTTTAATGCATACAGAGAACAAACTCACATCCACCATAATACAATACAGCTGAGCCCTATTTATAGAACCCTCTGTCCTAGCTCCGCAGGCAGGGGCTGAGCCCACCCGGGGGGGATGAGACACCACCCCCGGCCATAAGTGGCCTGGGGCCACTCGCCAGGGGAGGATCAGGCCCGCCGGGAGCAGTTTGGAGTCGTTCTCTTACGTGTTAGGCAGTAGGCAATATTGAGACTTCCACTTGGTAATGAACAGCAGTTAACATAACCCAGGAGACTAGAGCACCATAAGACAAGTCTATATTCAAAACAACGTCATGCTGACATCACACAATTGCACCATTTACACTTTTATTTACTCCAAATAATAGTTCAATGTTTAGTAACTTCAGCGTTCTCTACAGAGGTGTAAAATTCCTTCTCTGGCTTTGGTCATTTACAACGTTGCAGACATATGGTAGTTCTGTTCTTTCCTATTTAATAATAATAATAATCAAAAAAAAAGGTCCCTTCTGCAGCTGTCAGGATTCCTGTATCTGACTGATGGAGCGTACCTGAAAATCACAGGCGTGAGCAGACTTCAAAATGCTACTGAGGCCTCTTCAAGATTTAATGAATCAGAAAATGCTCTCTTTATTTACCAGGAATGAAACAAAACAAACAGAAAAAAAGGGTTAAAAAACCTGCAACCCTCAAAACAAATGACAACTCAAACTCTCACTGATATACTTAAGAAATTTGATGATGAAATGGAAAGGGGGGGTTCAAAGTACTGTTTGATTAGCTCTGGCTGAAAACAATTCTGAACGTGCATGCATTTTCCCAGTGACTCCTAAGATATAGAAATTCCTCTGATATTACAAAATACAAAAATATTTTCTCCAAACTCTCATTTACATTGCATTTACAACAATCACGGAAATAACTTAGGCTCCCACACTGTCCGAGAGAGACAAATTACCTACCAACGTGGCTAATGGAAAACAAAAACATGGTGGAAAGCAAAAGCTAACGGCAAACTGATGCTGAGAGTCAACAGTGGTAACCAAAACGTACGGACAAACAGAACTCTAAAGGTTGGCAGTATTTGGGAGAAAGAGGAAAAACTACTGGGTAAATATTACAGCCTAAAGTGAACTTTTTTGTTGTTGTTTGTGTTTTTTTTTTCTCCAAAGAAAGATGTGCAAAATATATTCACCGTGCCCAGGATTATGACTATTTATAGAAGCCAGTCTACAACCTTCTTACAAACCCCTACTCTTCAGGTCTTTTTTGTTACAATAAAAGCGCTTACATGATCTAAAACAGTGCAAGTTTGTGAGTTAATTTACATTCTCCCAAGGTGCCCGGCAAGGATGCCATTAGGATATGATACAGTTTTTGCTCTTCTGTCTTTTCCGGCTGTGCAACTGTCCCCTGCCACCCAGCGTGGAAGACTTGGGCATGCTGTACGAGCCGTACTTGTGCAGGAGCTCCTCGCTGGTCACGTACCGGAGGCGGGCGGGTTGGGGAATCGGCTCCCCGAGGAAATAGCCCTCGTTGTCGGACTCCGAAGAGGAGGAGCAGGTCGAGCACCAGTCGTACTCGGCGAAGTAGGGCCCCCATCTCTCACCCAAGTGGTTCTGCAAGGCGAGATCCGACACCGTCCGGGGACAGTGGCCGTAGACGTCCCGGCGGGGACCCTGCTCCACCGTCTCTCTGCAGCTCCTCTGGTGCATGAACTGGTCGTAGTCCTCCCTGGCTCGCAGCGAAGGTCTCTCCTTCAGCCGGCAGCACTGCTCGCTGGCCAGGTGCAGGGCATTATCCGACCGGGAACGTCGAGACCGTCGGGGCCGGTGCGGTCGGTAATGCCGGTCATCATCCCGGAGGTTAGTTCGCCGGCGTGTGCGCTCGCTCATGGGGGTGTGCCTCGGGCCCTCCTGCACCCCCAGCTTGCCCCCGGGCACCCCACTACCGTAGTCGAAGCTCTGGTGCATCCGCCCGTGCGACGGCCGCTCTCGGTACCCGAGGGGGCTGGCGAGGTCGTGCAGGTTGGGCTCCATGTCCTGGTACTGCTGCACCGACAGCAGGCTGCGGACGGACTCGGCGCTTCGGAATTGCATGGAGGAGTTCAGGGTGCCCATGTTGCTCATCTTCTCCGAGACGTTCATGCCAGAGTCTTTGCTCAGGTCAGGCATCGAGAACCTGGAGAGATGCTCCTGGCGCTTGGCCCCACCGTCTGCCGAGAGGCCTTTGTGGGGAAAGGGCAAAGGAAGGAAAAAAAAAGAGAGTTAAGAAGGAGAATTTTCTATCAGCAGAGATACAGGGAAAAGACTGGGTTTGGCCCGAGACTTTTGCTTTAAAAAATAACTCCGTGGTTTAGACGCTGTCCTGAAGAGCCCTTTCAAGAGGATGATTTTTTTACATTTTTTTTTTAAAGAGCAGGCAGTTCCTCCTTTGGGGAAATCACACCAATTTAAGGTGTTTTGAGTCGGACTCCAAGTTGCTTTTCACGACTTCCTTCCCCATATGTCTACACTGTCTGCGACTTGATAGGAATAACTAGCGATGCCAGGGAGAAATTATGCGTCAGAGGTAACCTGAGGCCTCCTGCACGCTGCGGTAACTAGGGTGCCATGATCCCGCACCCACACCTTGTGCAATGACAACATGTTTTGAAGGACTGAACAATGTCAGGGGCAGCTGAAAACGGGGCCACTGACTCATTTGGGCTTGTCACCATGCTGCACCGCACAGGTCCCCGGAATGACACCCGTGGGGGGACGGAAGGGTCAGCCTTGGCCATGTGCGTGCAGTTGGGCTTCCCAGGAGGTGAGGAAACACCTGAGCCCCAGAGTGTCTGCTGGAGCTCCCCATAGGCACTGGGATGTCAGGAGGGTCAGGCTATCCCTGCAGATATCCAGAGAGCTGCACATGGGCAGGAGCCAGCAACATCAGCTCCAGCTTGATGGGCTGCCCTGCTCGGGAAGGTGGCCCACTGGGTCTCTCCCATGTACCAGCCAGCCCTGAGCTCCCACTAGGTCCTCTCCTCCACCCCACAGCTCCTGCAAGGTGCTCTCCTCCAGCCCAGAAAGCCTTCACCTGGCAGCAGAGAAGCGGAGTGTCCACTCAGCACCTGCCCATCAATGAGCAACTCAATGCACCCCATGTCACCCCAGTCTTTGGCTTGTCTTCTGGGTGTTTTCTATTTTCTGAGTACCTCCGTGTTGGCTTGACAACTGGCAGCAGTCGGCGCTTGCATTGCAAGCTCAGGACAACATGTTTCGCAAGCTATTTCAAAGGAAATCCATTTCATCCCAAATCAAACGCAGAGTGTTTGCTTTGGCGCTCTTCTCCCCATCCCGCTCCGACAACCTCCCTGTGCAGACCAAGCGGGGAGAGCTGTGCACCATCAGCAGGATTTTCAACATGACGCACAGCCCTTATGCAATCACCGAGAATTTACGACTTTGTAAATTAATTAAAAAAACCCAACAAACCAACCAACAACCCAACCCACAGTTCAAGAATAAACTTCTTTTTCCCTTAACAAAAGCTGCTTACATTTCATCGAGAGCTCAGCTCCTTCGGCATCAGCCGCCGCCTGCCAAACCTGAACAAGGGCTGCTGTCACTAACCCCGCTCACGAGCCGCTTCGGGGTTTCTTTGGACTCAGCCTTATAAAGATCAACAGATCCTGCAAAGATGGGCAGAGTTTTCCAAATCCTCCCCTCGGTGGCACCAGGGAGAGCTTTAGCACTTGAGCAGAAGCCGCTGCTGGGTCTCGCACGATTTGGCTTTGCTCCCCGAGTCCCAGCCGCCGCAGCCATTTCTCTCTGCTCGTTTGCTTTTCTGCTGTTAATGGGGACGTTTCTGGAGTTTATGATTACAGAGGAAGGCAAAGCAAAGGCGATCCCTGAATGCCGCAGGAAAAGGGAGAGGCTGGGTTAAAAGAAATGGAAAAGCTCTTTTGTTTTGAAAATTACACACTTCTCAAACCAGCTTCGTGCCTTTTTTTTTTTTTTTTTCTCAGCCACGCTGACCTCGAGCGAGCTAACCCAACCCTGCTGACCACCCTTCGGAAACAGTCCCGCACGGGCTACCCGTCCCCTCGAGGACTTGCCCACCGGCGCTCCCCGCTCCCATCGTGGGAGCGAGTGATTCCCAGCACACACCACCTCCTCCTGGAGCCGCGATATTCTGCCTTTGATCCTTTGATGCCGTTTGTCACATTGGGCACTGTTCCTCATGTCCTTCCTGTGCCACCGTGGAGGAGCCCGGCAGCCCCCCGGGAGGGAAAAGCAACTCGGTAATATGCTCAAAGACCTACTGAAAAGCCAGAATAACAGTGGGATTGCCGGCGGAGCTGATCCGAACGTGAATCACACACTGCTGACAGCCAAACATGGCCTCAATCAGATCTGTCAGACAATAGCTGACAATGAAGAAAACGAGCCCTCGGTGACATTTATGCAACCCTTCATTAAGAGAGCCGGCGCGGCCCTGCAATAAGAGTGAGCAACGGCAGTGCTGTGCAGCAATATGGCTCCAAACGCCGCGGGATGCTTCTGCTGCGTCAGCAGATGGATTTTGGCAGCATCGTTTGAAGGGGGCTGACCTCGTCTGGCCACGGGGCGAGCCGGTGCTTTTCCCCTGGTGCACAGCCCAGCAACATCAGACAGCGCCCAGGAGGTCGGCTCCCTCTGCCCCGGCCGTCTCTCTCCTCTGGTCCTGTACCCACCAGCAGACACCACCAGTGCTTTGTCTTTCCCTCCTGACAGCGCTGGTCAGGACAGGGGTGAGCAATTCCAGCCGAGGAGCCTGTGATACGCGTGCGGCTCATGCTCAGGGCGCAAGGTTCAATCAGCGATTATTAGGTCCAGGGGATGTTTCTGGTTGTTCATCCAGACGGCCTGATTATAATTAAGCACACGCATTTTAAGATCTTGTATCGCTGGGAAAATGTCGGTTGTAGGAGGAATCCAGCACGGAGCACGTACACCGCCAGCGCACAGAGCTCAGGGCACAACGGAGCCCATGCTTGGGAGACCACAGCAAAGCCACCCTGAGACCCAACAGCTTTGTTTCTCCATATGACAGAGTGGGAAACACTCCTTGCAGAGGGCCAAACGCATCTTCCCAGGCAGATTTGACAGGCTGCAAAAAAAAAAAAGCCTTTTTTTTTTTTTTGAAAGCCACAGCAGCAAGTGACCCAGCAGGCAACGTGGCTGGGGACCAGGGAAGCATTTTTTTATCTGCTCGTGGTGGCAGCGAAGGATTTCTTCTGCTCACTCAGGAGTAAAGTTGTGCTTTTATAGCCGATATCCCTGCAGATACCGAGAGCTCTGGGCAGCTCTTACGATGCCCAGAGCAGGTACCGGGTCAAGGATGCGACTTCTAACCAATACAAAACACAAAGGTACCTCTCCAGGCTTAATTTTCCATTTACACCACTGCAAGGTGTAAAGCATCACGAGAGGGGGTTAGGCCCAGAATAATCCTTCAAAGCTTGCAAAATGATGCTGCCCCTCTCTGCAGAGCCACAAAAGGCTCAACAAGGCATAGCGGGAGCACACCAGGAGCGCCCAAGCCTGACCGCAGTGAGTTCAGAGGACAGCAATAACCATTCATCTAAAAAATTTCATCCAGAAAACTTGACCCAGGAATAAAGTTTGAAAGAGCAGGAGCTGGTTGTTTAGTCTAGAGAAGAGAAGGCTGAAAGGGATATAATAACAGCCTTCAAACACGGAAAAAAATGCTTGTGTAGAGAAATGGAATACATTATTCTCCAGGTCAGGTCTGCTGAACTCCTGCAAGGAAAATATCAGCTTGGAGAAGAAAACTCTTCCTGTGCGATCACAGCAGAAGATGACCAGAGGAGGGTCCAGCACCGGAGGGTTTCCTGGAGACCTGAAGGCAGCAGATGCCCGGGAACAGGCAGGGTGGCTCCGCATCTCTGGTCCTGTGTTGCCCTGGACCGGGTGAAGGTGGCACCGACCCTCCTCTCCTGCGGTCATTCGCCATTTCAGAGCTACACCAGTGCATTGAGGCCCAATCTTCTTGAATTACCAGTATTTATTTACAGCCACTGCAACTCCCTCTTAATGAAGTGTTTCATCTGGGAACACAGCTAATAACCCGAGCGAGCCCTAACCTGGAAGAAAGACCATGCGAGGGGAGACCCCACCACGCAGCGGTGATTTTTTTCTAACAAGGAAACCTGAGAATCTGTTTCCCGAGGCCGTCCAGGGGAGCGGGAGCTCTGCTCTGGTGTGAGATGGTTGTTATCGCATCACCGAGCCCTTTCCAAGAGTGCAAAACCCAGGGATGATATCGATGAGACTTCCCTTCTGCAAAACGATGCTCGGAGGCTCCAAGCGCATCCATCAGCGGCTGCCCCAGAGGCTCTTGCACTGGAAGAGGAGAGATGGCACCTGCTGCCACCAGCCTGGTGAGTTGGCCGGTGGCTGTCCCACAGCCAGATTGGAGCCAGCACCGCGGCACAGTGGACACAGCAGGTTATTTTGCTGCCCTTCTCCGCTGCGTGGGGCTGCCAGGCTCAATATTTCACCCCGGAGCCATGGAAACGCGCACCTTTCAGACGAGCACAAGCGAAAGCTGTAGCTCGTCTGCGGGCGTTTGATATACAACTCAAGCTGGCTACAGCGCCGGGAACACAAAGCAGGTTTCTGGTTAACATTAAGGTTTGCTAAGAACATGCTGTACGATCCCCTCTGAAGTCCTTCCCCACCCCTATTAAGAACCATGCTTATCCCATAAAACATCACCAAGGGAAATAACAACCGACTAAGCAAAACGACAGGACAAAAACATTCCTCATGAGCATCACCTCTACAGCCTTGCCACAACAAAGCACTCGCAGGCGCTTAAATCTCACTGTGGGCTTTGCTAAACCGGGGCTGCAAGTTGCATTAATGATGAATTATTCGACCGCTCGGCAAATGACAGCAGAGGGGCCGCAGAGAGCACGTACGCTGGACGTGAGGCTGGGAATGAAGCCCCCCGGGAGGGGCAGCAGCTCCCCGCCCCCATTAAATTAAACTCCCCGCCGCATCCAGCATCCCACCGCAGAGACAGCATCCTCTGCTTCACCCCACCGGGGGAAGGCAAAATGCCCTTTCTTAGGATATTGCACACCAACAGGGCTATGCTGACACTCGCTTCTTGCCTTTACTTTTATCACAATGTACACATATACCTGTGCATCGCAGTCCTCACTACCTGAGCCGC